TTCTGGTTAAACAACGTTCTACCCGATGGTCGCGACGTTGAAGAAATGCAGCGGATACCGTTTTGAGTACTTAAGTATCTAAAAAATAAGAATAATAATAAGATATTGGAATTGCTGTTCTGTTGTATTTGACTTCCTATTTATGATTCTCATCCCGCATATTTTTAAATGCATAATGCATAGGCTAATCAAGATGATATATGTGAATGTCGACCTCAAATTAGGTTTCTGTTGCCCCTTCCGATTTGCTAGATATGGGAGCAATCTGAAAAGATAGAAGCAGATGGCGATAGTAGAATATGGGCTACTATGGACACCCCCCACCACTTCCACTTTGGCCACGCCCACCGCGTGCTCTGATTGGCGGATCAGACGGCGGGAAATTTGAACGGGGTTGATGGTATATGTTGATTGGCGGGAACCGCTAGATCCACCGCGTGCTCTGATTGGCGGATCAGACGGCGGGAAATTTGAACGGGGTTGATGGTATATGTTGATTGGCGGGCTAGATGCCGCACCCGACCGGAAGTGATTCAGACAGCCAACGATAGTAAGGTGTAGTATAACGTCTATGCGTAAGTGATGTGACTCATTTCATGTTTTGCGGTAAATATTTGCATATAGATCGATAAAAGCCGATGAATACTGGTAATTATAGATGCAATTCTGCGGATTCAGTTTAATTGGAAAAACGTATAAAATTCGCGGAGAACAATGCGTATAGGATGATCTCAATAGTCATCACGTCATATTCAGTGTGCATATAAAAATGGAATTGCTCATATGTGGTGCATACAGTTAATGTTAGTTAATTTTTAACATTGATACAATATTGAAAACATAGTACAGTCTATATTGTGTATCTAATAGATTCCAACAAGGCAATCACCTACGTCGCAAATGAGGTTAGGTTCAGCGCCGGTGTAGTCGTAGCTGTGATATGCAAGAAGTACCGGGCGGGGCTGTCAAGCATGGGTGAATGGGCAGGGAGCGCAGGCTGTCAACTAGTTAATACCGGCCAGCGGTGACCTTGGAACACTGTGGTCAGTTAAAAAGTGGTGGGGGTATAATTGAGATTATAAATACCTATGAATCATCGCAAATTATCTTGTCAGTTAGCTACAGCGAACAGACGTGCTCAGTTCAGATTTAGTCGCTAGTTAACGTTTTAGTTTTTAAAAAAATGGAAAAATTCTTCATCGTTAAGGATTCTACTAAGAAGATTAAAAAATTTAATCTATATGGGCGAGAAGTGGAATTTAAAATACGACCTATCCCTAAAGACGTCGAACCTGTGGGATGGATCAAAGACGCTCTGGAGGAAATAGTAGCCAAAGGAACTGAACATCTCCAGCCCAGTGATCAAGTTGGATTCACTTTCTGTTCCAAAGACTTTACCCGCGGTCAAGGGTGGATAGCTTTTAAATCGTTTTCCGACGTTTCAAATGAGGACATATGGGAGAAGATATCTTCCATCTATCAGTCAAATTCTGTGGGGTTGAATACCGAGACTTTTTGCTTGGGAGTTACGTCCATAAGGTTGCCTGCTGGTCGTGGTAGAGGTCAGAATTTCAATACTTTTGATGAGGAATGCACCAAAAGAAGAGGTATTATCACCGTTAAAAACACCGATAATTTGTGTCTCCCACGAGCCCTTGTCATCGCCATGGCCCATTTGAACAAAGACAAAGATTATAGCAGAATCCGCCTCGATCGAGGAAAAATACAAGGACAAAGAGCTGCACAACTTGTGGAAAAGGCTGATATTGTTATCCCTGAGGAGGGGTGTGGAATACCTGAACTTCAAAAGCTACAACGATATCTGCAAAACTACAAAATTGTTGTATACAAGTTTGGGTGCAAAGGTCGTGACGTCATTTTTGAAGGCGTGTCCACTGGTTCGACGCTTAACCTAATCTATCACGAGGGGCACTACAGCGTCATAACATCCCTCACTGCTGCCTTTTGCTGCAGCTATTTTTGTGAGAACTGCCACATTCCGTATAATAATAAACAAATTCATAGATGTGATAAACAATGTTATGCTTGTAAAAGATCTCCGGCCTGCCTGAAAACGAAGCACATCGAATGCAAAGAATGTAATAGAAGCTTTTATGGACAAGAATGTTTTAACGCTCATTTACCATCGGTCTGTTCTAAAATTAAAAGATGTGTAGACTGTTTTAAAGTTCACAACGGTAATGATCACATCTGCGGACATATACTTTGTAAAACATGTTATAAAAATCAACCAATTGAACATATGTGCTATATACAGCCTGACAGAAGTATTCCAAAATCAAATGATGTCTTATTAATATTTTACGATTTGGAAACCCGTCAGGAGAAGGAATTACCCAACGGATCTTTACTTCATGAGCCAAATCTATGTGTATTCAAACAATGTTGTGAATCATGTACCGATAATCCTATATGCAAGAAATGTGGCCTTCGATTACAGATTCTTCGATGTCAAGACGTCATTTCTCCATTTATGCATCATATTCTGACACTTCGTAAAAAATTCAAGAAAGTCATTGTACTGGCGCATAATGGTGGAGGATTTGATCATCAGTTTCTACTTCGTTACATTTTAGAGAAGACTAGTCTGTACCCAAATGTAATTATGAGAGGAACAAAATTAATATTGATGGAGGTAGGAAATGTAAAATTTCTGGATTCTCTCAATTATTTTCCTATGCCTCTAACTGCTCTACCCAAGGCGTTTGATTTGAAAGAGCTAAAGAAAGGATACTTTCCACATCTATTCAACACTTTGGCTCATCAGAATTATCTAGGGCCAATTCCAGCGCTCGACTTCTACGATCCCGACCATTTAAAAGAAGACACTCGAGAAAAATTATTAAAATGGCATGGCAAAAGACAAGCGGAGGGATACGTTTTTGATTTTCAGAAAGAAATCGTTGAATACTGTATCTCCGATGTGGAAATATTGACACAGGCGTGTCTCAAATTTCGAGACCTGATGAAAACCGAAACCACAGTCGATCCCTTCCAGGAAAGCACCACTATTGCATCATGCTGTAACAAAGTCTTTAGACGCAATTTTTTAAAACCTGAGACGATCGGGGTAATTCCAAAAGGGGGCTATAGATGGCGTGAAAATCAGTCAAAAATTGCCATCCAATGGATGTTGTGGGAGGAACATCAAAGAGGAATCAAAATTCAACACGCCGCTAAGGGTATAGAAACCATTGTTAAGGGACATAAAGTAGACGGTTTTTGTAGCGACACAAATCAAGTGTTTGAATTCCAAGGATGCTATTTTCACGGTTGCCCTCGATGTTTCAAATACAACAGAAGCAATCCTCTGCATAATGATCCGTTGAATACATTGGAAAGTCGATACGAACAATCAGTTAGCAAAGTAGAGAGACTCCGAAGCCTTGGACTAGAAGTAATTGAGATATGGGAATGTCAATTTCGAGGAATGCTAAACGATGAAATTAGAGCCTTCACAGAAGCACATCCATTGATAATCAATTTACCGATTAACCCCAGAGACGCTCTCTACGGGGGACGTACAGAAAATATCGTTGAATACTACAAGATCAAAACAAATGAATGCATAAAATATGTCGATATATGTTCCCTGTACCCCTTCATCTGTAAATATGGAAAATTTCCGGTGGGTCATCCAAAAAAAATTTACGTAGGTGAAGAATGTGTTACAGCCTCTCTGTCGCAGATGTCAGGACTTATTAAATGCCAGATTCTACCGAACCAGAACTTATATCACCCCGTTTTACCGTCAAAAATGAACAACAAATTGATGTTTGTTAACTGTCAAAAATGTGGTGAAGATTTCGTTCGAGAAGAGTGTCAGCATTCTATTCAAGAAAGAAGCCTAAAAGGAACTTGGGTGATAGAAGAGGTGCTCAAAGCTATTGAAAAAGGTTACCAAATTATAGAGACTTACGAAATATGGGAATACGATACAATTCAGCTCAGTAAAGACCAAGAGGGGTTATTTAGCGGAATGATGAACAAGTTTCTACAAATAAAACAACAAGCTTCAGGATGGCCCAAACATTGCTTAACGGATGAAGAAAAAAACCGTTATATTGATGCATTTTTGGATACAGAGGACATAAAGCTGGAATTTTCAAAAATTATAGAGAACCCCTGTTTGAGATCGTTAGCTAAACTTATGCTGAATTCTTTTTGGGGTAAATTTGCTCAAAAAGAAAACCAAAACAAAACCTCGATAGTCAGAGACTGTGGTGAATTCTTTGATATGCTGACTAATCCTTCTATTCATGTAAATACAGTTCTCCCGGTAAACGAAGAAACCCTTCTCGTAACTTGGGAATTTAGAGAAGAGGTGTATGACGTTTCTTCAACGGTTAACGTTGTATTGGCTTCATACGTCACGGCCCTAGCTAGACTAAAATTATATTCATTCTTGGAGAAAGTGGAAGAAAGGGCAGTTTACGTAGATACAGATTCATGTATTTATATCTCTCGTAAGGGATTAGACGACATATCTACAGGCGACTTCATAGGTGATATGACCGATGAGCTCAATGGGGGTTTCATATCAGAGTTTGTTTCTGGAGGACCTAAGAACTACGCCTACAAATATACTACTTTGTCTGGAGAGGAACAGATCGTATGTAAAGTAAAAGGCATATCACTCAACTACAAGGCATCCCAAGTGGTCAATTTTGAGAAAATAAAAGACATGGTGCTGAAGAAATCTGTTCCTGTTTCTGTACTTTCTCGACAGCTACGACGTACAAGAGAGCATGCAGTAGTAACAGTCGAGTTTCCTAAGGTATACAAGATAACTTCAATGAAAAGGAAATTCTATGCAGATCATACCTCTGTACCATTTGGATTTAAGAAAATAAAATATTGATTTGTTAATGTATGTAAATATTTTTTAATAAACATGTAAAATAAAATGTATGCAAATGATTTTTTGTTTTTTATTTCCCGCCTAATTGAAAAATATTTTTGCACCCAAAATTGTTCAGCCTTTTTACTCCATATAAAAATATTTAAAAGTATGCATTCTTATTATTAAACGCCTGCAGTAATATACACCAAAAAAAATTGAGAAGCAGTATAACCATGTAGAACTTTGTATAATCACAAAAAAACATACCTTGAAAAATAAAAAATACAGCAGATTCATAAGCAGTGTAGAGAGGGAACTACGTAAAAGTAATCGATTATTACTAATAAAATAGAGTTTTGAATTCCTATTTTTGCAATAATAATCACTTTACTACTTTACGTGTTTGGCACTGCACTGCACGGGTACCAACACTGTACTGCCCGGGCACGAAAAATTGAGAAGCATGATAACCATGTAGAACTTCGTATCACTACGTAAAGAATAAAATGGTTATTACGAAAAGTAGAAATAAAAACTCTATTCTCGATAATAGCTATACTATTTTTTATGAGCACCGAAAAAATTGAGAAGCACGATAACCTCGTAGAACTTCGAAACAGCACCAGGGACAACCGAAGGCTACAGAAAAAAACACATACTGAAAAGGCATAACATCTATCAGCGCTGGTATTCGAAAATACTGTTTCCTTTGACATTCGTTGGGATATGAAAACACATATTTGCTTTCCACCGTTATAACGGAAATAATGGTTACTGCAAAAGCAGCTTCACGGTAAGACCATACATTAATCTACAAAGTTGATAATAAAACATATGTACTATTAAAATGCAGATATTTTTAAAATTATACAATTAAAAAATCAAAATAATATATTATAAATGGCAGGGGATACAGGGTAAACACCGAAATACACTTAATTTAGAATAGTTACTTATAATCTCCTCAGTTCTTTGGTCAGCCGTTTGGACAATTTACCGGTGGGTCCTCTATTTTTGTGCATGTAAAAGGTTAGACTATGGCGCTAGCAAAAGAAAACAAAATGCAACAAAGTAGAGTCACTTAATATTCTTGTTGAAATTACGGATAGAATATGGTAGAAAGTAACAATCAGATATTGTAGAAGCCATGTAATTGTTTATTTGTTGAGGAAAAAGTATTTTTCATACGCTGACCATGTTTATATCCGCTTGGTACGCGACCAGATTTTTTCCAAACCTTTGCCCGTAGGGTTCATGAGCCGACGACCAAATGCGACGTCGAAGGGGCATTTTTGGCCAAATTCGGTCGAAACCGATGCTGCGTTCGTACCCTAGGCTAGAGCCTACGGACAGCGACTCAAACTTAATTTTAATTGATTTGCAAAGATCTTGCTAGAACACTTGAGCTAGTGATTATATGCAATTTATCGGTGACGAGCTTTCCTCTAGCATATCTTGATTTATTCAAGCGAATCAATGAGAAACTAGTGAATAAAATTACCTGACAGCCATAGTACAAGTTGGTATATCTACACCTTCTTCTCTTACATTTGGCGCCACTAAAATGTTAATCTCCTTGTTTCTAAAAACGATCAAGTACTTATCTGTTCTTCTTATTAATCGGAAGTGATTCTACGGTGCTATTAAAAGAGTTTCCGTTATATCCCACAACGAAATCCGGCTTTATATGTCTGAACTCTGGTACATGTTCACTCAAATCTTTCAGTACATGGTGCAATATTTTTGGCAGTTGATCTTTCCTTCGTGAATACTAAACCACAAATTTCCTCGTTTGAAGATGAACTGTTGAAAAGTGTGACGTTTATATTAGTATTAATATCTATGACATTTACTTTTTTTAAAATAGTTAAATACTACGATAAACTGGGAATGTGGGATGAAGCAGAAATGTTTCTGTAACCCAATTTAGGTATGTATAGCAAGTCTTACGCAAGACAATAATAAAAACAGATAGAATTTGAGGGCGATTCTTGGAAGAAAAATTCATAGTATTTCTAAGGCAGCACCGACCGGAATGCTATAATTTTAGCATACATTTACATGTTTTAGGTCTAATGATAAATAGAAAGTGATTAAAATTTTAACTTCAATTTTCGTAAAATAGCTGAGATATGCCATCTTGCAGTACCCTAGAATGAAATACCCGACAGGTTATCGATTACCTGATAGTCTGGGTTCTCGCCTCTAGATGGCGCTACATACAAACGTCATCTGTCAAACGTTATGTGTATCATTGATAAGTGTGAGTTGTGTCTCTAAGCGCTAGATGGTGTCGATGTCGCACTGGTGTCGTAGAGTGACCCACATACAGGGGTCGATAGAAATTTTTGGGGGCCCTACCGACGGGCCGATGTACCGACGGGTCGATGAACCGACGGTATATCGTCAGATCGAAATAAGCTCCATTCACATGGGAGGTGTGTGTGGAACTGCTCGTGGGAGACACGGCACCTTGTCGTATATACCAAGACGTGTCCTAAAATGGTGCTACCCATTGGTCGCTCCGCCATACAGGTCGGTCAGACAGAAGTTTTTGGGACCGGGGTGCTCTGATTGGTGGATCAGACGGCGGGAAATTTGAACGGTGTTGATGGTATAGTTGAATGGTGGACGGCGGAGTCGGGTGCGTTGGTAATCACCTATGTCGCAAATGAGGTTAGATAGATAGTCGTTCAGCGAAGGTGTTGTCGTAGCAGTAGCAAGAAGTACTGCGCGCGGGGGTGTCAACGAGTTAATACTGGCCAACGATAACAGCGGTGACCCTGGAACACTGTTGTCACACGGTTGCAATAGATGATAGGTTATCTCTTAATCTTCGTAAACAACGATTTTTCTAAAGTGGTAAAAACAGGTCGAAATTTTAAATACCTATGAATCACCGCAAATTATTTTGTCAGTTATCTGCTGCGAACAAAACATGCTCAGCTCAGACTTATCTAAAAAGTGGTGGGAAAATCGATATTATAAAAATATTTATGAATCACCGCAAATTCTCTTAGACGTGCTCTTATCAGTTCAGACTCAGTTAAAAGTGGTGGGTAAAATCGAGATTATAAATACCTATGAGTCACCGCAAATTACCTTGTCAGTTATCTGCAGCGAACAGACGTGCTCAGTTCAGACTTAGCAATTCCCAACGCTCCTCCGTGGCCATTCCCCTTACCCTCTCGCGAGTGCGCGCATGCGCATGCGGCTCGTTCTGGTCTATAGACATAGGATCGCTAATGATCTTGAAGAAAGATGTCCTGATACCCGAACAGCCAGAGGTACATCAGAAGTAATGTTAGTATTGTGTGTGCGTGTTTTTTGAACACGCTAATTCGTGATGTACATCACGTGACGTACGTCACGTGACCTACGTGACGTACGTGTGACAGGTGACGTGCGTCACGTGACACGTGATGCACGTGGCACGTGACGTGCGTCACGTGACACTTGACGCACGTGGCGTACGTCACGTGACACGTGACGTGCACACTTTGTTCAAAAATACCAAAAAGATGTCTTGATAGCCCGAACCGCCAGAGGTACAACATCAGAAGTAATGTTAGTGCGTGGTTGAGGTTCAAAACTTTGCGTGTTCAAAAAAAACGTACCTAGACCAAAAGTCATTCTAGACCAGTCACTCTAGACCAAAGTACAAAAAAAAACGCCGTTTTTCAACGCCTTTTTTGTCACCATCCCCCTTAGTAGCGCGCATGCGCATGGGGCTCGTTCTGCAGGTGCTGGTGCTGGCGCGGGCGTACTACGGGGGGTGTAGATAGCGTTTGTGGTAAGGGTTGGGGGTAGGTCTTGTTCTCTTACCACTATCCCAAGGTACACAACAAACAAACTTACTCGTGCGCGCATTTACCTACCCCCAACCCTTACCACAAACGCTATCTACACCCCCCGTAGTACGCCCGCGCCAGCACCAGCACCTGCAGAACGAGCCCCATGCGCATGCGCGCTACTAAGGGGGATGGTGACAAAAAAGGCGTTGAAAAACGGCGTTTTTTTTTGTACTTTGGTCTAGAGTGACTGGTCTAGAATGACTTTTGGTCTAGGTACGTTTTTTTTGAACACGCAAAGTTTTGAACCTCAACCACGCACTAACATTACTTCTGATGTTGTACCTCTGGCGGTTCGGGCTATCAAGACATCTTTTTGGTATTTTTGAACAAAGTGTGCACGTCACGTGTCACGTGACGTACGCCACGTGCGTCAAGTGTCACGTGACGCACGTCACGTGCCACGTGCATCACGTGTCACGTGACGCACGTCACCTGTCACACGTACGTCACGTAGGTCACGTGACGTACGTCACGTGATGTACATCACGAATTAGCGTGTTCAAAAAACACGCACACACAATACTAACATTACTTCTGATGTACCTCTGGCTGTTCGGGTATCAGGACATCTTTCTTCAAGATCATTAGCGATCCTATGTCTATAGACCAGAACGAGCCGCATGCGCATGCGCGCACTCGCGAGAGGGTAAGGGGAATGGCCACGGAGGAGCGTTGGGAATTGCTAAGTCTGAACTGAGCACGTCTGTTCGCTGCAGATAACTGACAAGGTAATTTGCGGTGACTCATAGGTATTTATAATCTCGATTTTACCCACCACTTTTAACTGAGTCTGAACTGATAAGAGCACGTCTAAGAGAATTTGCGGTGATTCATAAATATTTTTATAATATCGATTTTCCCACCACTTTTTAGATAAGTCTGAGCTGAGCATGTTTTGTTCGCAGCAGATAACTGACAAAATAA